GCTCACGCTTGAGGCTCAGGCATCGGCGGTGTCCGGGAGGGCCTTTGCACAACTGAGACTTGTGCGCCAGCTACGACCGTACCTCGCGAAGGCTGATCTGGCCGGGGTGGTCCACGCCTTAGTCACCTCCAGACTGGATTACTGCAATGCACTCTACGTGGGGCTGCTCTTGAAAACGGCTCGGAAATTTCAACTGGTCCAACGAGTGGCGGTCAGGATGTTAACTGGGGCCCATTACAGAGTGAGGTCAACCCTCCTGTTCAAGGAGCTCCACTGGCTGCCGTTTATCTTCCGAGCCCAATTTAAGGTGCAGGTGCTTACCTACAAAGCCCTGAATGGTTTGGGACCACCCTACCTGCGTGACCGCATCTCCGTCTATGAACCCACACGCTCACTCTGGTCATCTGGAGAGGCCCTGCTCGTGATCCCGCCCGCGTCGCAGGCACGTCTGGTGGAGACGCGAGACAGGGCCTTTTCTGTGGTGGCCCCCCGACTCTGGAACACCCTCCCCAAAGATCTTAGACAGGCCCCTACATTGGCAGTCTTCAGAAAGAACTTGAAGACCTGGCTGTTCCGATGTGCCTTCCCAGAATAGGAAAACTCCAATAACAAGTCCCAGAAGCACTTTATTAGAACTAAGATTGCTGCACACTGCACTTACCCTATAATCCTTACATATCACCTGTCACATCAGCACTTTTAATCCTGTACCCATTACTCTGGCCCGGCCCAGTTTTATAGTGTCTTGATGTATTGTTTATTGCTTGTTGTTTAATATTGCTTTAATTGTTTTTAATTTGCTTTAGGTGTTGTACTGTTATGTTGTGTTTTGAGGCTTGGCCTTTGTAAGCCGCATCGAGTCCTTCGGGAGATGGTAGCGGGGTACAAATAAAGTTAATAATAATAATAACATTCCCACCTAGCTCCAGCAGACAAGAGTCCTTTGTCCCACCCTGGCCATTCCACAGATATATGAACCCACTTTCCTAGTTCCAACAGACCTCACTACCTCTGAGGATGCTTGCCATAGATGCAGGCGAAACGTCAGGAGAAAATGACTCTGGAACATGGTCATATAGCCCGAAAAAACCCCCTACCCACAAACATAAAGAAATTACATATATGGCTACTCTCTATCTCATCCTAACAAATGCGGAGGACCTGATCGATGCGGTCGAAGTGGTAGGATCCTTAGGGGCAAGTGACCATGTGCTCCTGCAATTTGAGGTACAAAGGAAGGCCGAAACTAAGACAAGTCAAACCCGCATTTTGGACTTTAGGAGAGCTGATTTCCAAAAAATGAAGGAAACGCTGAGCAGCATTCCGTGGACACAGATACTAAAAGACAAGGGAGTTACGGATGGATGGGAATTTCTCAAGAGTGAAATACTCAAGGCGCAATTGCAAACCGTGCCAACAAAGAGAAAAAATAGGACAAGTGCAAAGAAGCCAGAATGGATGTCCAAAGAACTTCTAACTGTGCTAAGACACAAAAGAGGCATGCACAAGAAGTGGAAAAAGGGAGAAATCACCAAAGAAGAATTCAAACAAATAGCCAACACCTGTAGGGAAAAGGTCCGCAAGGCTAAAGCACAAAACGAGCTCAGGCTTGCCAGGGACATTAAAAACAATAAAAAGGGATTCTTTTCTTATGTCAGTAGAAAAAGGAAAAACAAGGAGGCGATAGGGCCTCTTCGAGGAGAAGATGGGGCAATGCTGACAGGAGATAGGGAAAAGGCAGAACTACTGTCAGGGGTGATTTGAATGCGATATTCCTGCTTCTTGGTAGAATGAGGTTGGACTGGATGGCCCATGAGGTCTCTTCCAACTCTTTGATTCTATGATTCTATATTAGAAGCCAACACTTTCTGATTACTTTATTTTCCAGATCACCAGACTGGGACACAGCAATGCCTGGCAGGGGATGGCTAGTAAATAAAGTAAGTCGAGTAGAACTAACATGGAGTAGAACACTCAAAGGCTCTTTCCAAGCAGAACGCTTGAGGTCATTTTGGAGGGAGGAGGACGGTTGTCAAGTTAACGGGAGACTGAACCGACAGTGATGCCACAAAAGAACATTCCCTTCCTCATTGCTATTTCTGTTTCCTGTTTTATAAGGCAGTTCTTTCCCCAGAAGGCACTGTGATGGGGACATAGAATCACAGAGAGACCTCCTGAGCCATCCAGTCCAACCCCATTCTACCAAGAAGCAGGAATATTGCATTCAAATCACCCCTGTCTTCACTGTGTCTGGTTGTGACCCCCAGGTTGTGCCAATCAGCTTTCATATGATATTGTTTCTAGCACCCATATTTTGCTTGATTGTCAAGCAGTGCGTCTTGTAAGTCCAAGTTGGACTTAAAAGACGCATTGTTGGACGTTGGACTTCCAAGTTGGAACAGACCTCGTCGGCCAACCAGTCCAACCCCATTCTGCCAAGAAGCAGGAATATTGCATTCAAATCACCCCTGTCTTCACTGTGTCTGGTTGTGTTCCCTAGGTTGTGTCAATCAGCTTTCATATGATATTATTTCTAGCACCCACTTTTTGCTTGATATTCAGGCAGTGCTTCTTCTAGGTCAGAGCACGGTCCAGAGTGACTTTGGAATCATAGAATCATAGAGTTGGAAGAGACCTCATGGGCCATCCAGTCCAACCCCACTGCCAAGAAGCAGGAATATTGCATTCAAAGCACCCCTGACAGATGGCCATCCAGCCTCTGTTTAAAAGCTTCCAAAGAAGGAGCCTCCACCACTCTCCGGGGCAGGGAGTTCCACTGCTGAACGGCTCTCACAGTCAGGAAGTTCTTCCTCATGTTCAGATGGAATCTCCTCTCTTGTAGTTTGAAGCCATTGTTCCGCGTCCTAGTCTCCAGGGAAGCAGAAAACAAGCTTGCTCCCTCCTCCCTGTGGCTTCCTCTCACATATTTATACATGGCTATCATGTCTCCTCTCAGCCTTCTCTTCTTCAGGCTAACATGCCCAGCTCCTTAAGCCGCTCCTCATAGGGCTTGTTCTCCAGACCCTTGATCACTTTAATCGCACTCTTTCTCTGGACACATTCCAGCTTGTCAATATTTCCCTTCAATTGTGGTGCCCAGAATTGGACACAATATTCCAGATGTGGTCTAACCAAAGCGGAATAGAGCATGGGGAGCATGACTTCCCTAGATCTAAACACTAGGCTCCTATTGATGCAGGCTTAGGGTTGATGCAGGACAAAATTCCATTGGCTTCTTTTGCTGCCACTTCACATTGTTGGAGGCTTGGCCACCTCCTGAGCTCCTTAACCAATGGGCGAACTCACGCCACTTCAGCCTCCTGGCCAATCGGGAGAGAAGGAGGCGAGATGAGAGGGAAACAATGAGAACTGGAGTGGATTATGGAAATATGTGGTGTCCATTTGGTCGGCGAGTCCTCAGGGGGCCTTCTAGCCAACCAGCCTATTGTCTTGAGAGGTGGCAATCAACGTTAATGTCTGGCGAGATGGCCAGAATCCAGATTTTTCTTGAACTGAGATATGGAGACAATGGGGTAATCCTGGCTGTAGTTTTGGTGGATGGAAGATAACTGAGAGAACAGATCAGGACAAATTGTGGCTTTCCGAAGGCCCTTTGTCCTGTTGAGATACGATCAATCATGCCAAGTGGGCACCCTCCCCTGGGATTGGCCCTCCTCCAATCTGCTGGAACTTCTCCCGTTCTCAAAGATGATTGCCAATGGTTCCAAAATGACTTCCGCTAGTTCCTTCAATACTCTTGGGTGTAGCTGATCTGGCCCTGAAAGGGGACTTGAACTCATTGAGAATGGCCAGGTCTTCCTGGACGACTTGTTTCCCAATTTGGGATTGGATGTCCTCATCCACTCCATCTTGCTGAGGTTGAAGATGAGTTCTTTTTGTGAGAAGACCGAGGCAAAGAAGGCATTAAGTAGTTCTGCCTTTTCCCTTTCATCCCCTGTCAGCATTGCCCCATCTTCTCCTCGAAGAGGCCCTATCGCCTCCTTGTTTTTCCTTTTTCTACTGACATTAGAAAAGAAGCCCTTTTTATTGTTTATAATGTCCTTGGCAATCCTGAAGCCTTGCGGACCTTTTCCCTACAGGTGTTGGCTATTTGTTTGAATTCTTCTTTGGTAATTTCTCCCTTTTTCCACTTCTTGTGCATGTCTCTTTTGTGACTTAGCAGAGTTAGAAGTTCTTTGGACTCTCACATATTTATACATGACTAGCCATCCCTTGCCACGTGTTGTTGTGGCCCAGTCTGTATATATGTTTTGTGCATGTGTATATGTGTATGTATGTGTGTTTGCATATAGATAGAAAGGTAGATAGATAGATAGATAGAGCTATATAAATAAAAATGTAATGTTCGCTTGTGGGATTAACAGTACTCAAAAACCACATCTGTACGCTTGTCATCACCATCATCATCATCATCATTATATTTAATTACTTATTAATCGCCCTCCATCTGAGAATGCTCTAGGCGATTTACAAGGCCTTACTAAAATCCAGATCCATGGCATTACTGAAATCCAGATCCATGGCATTCCCCGCATCTACCCAGCTGTTGTAAATTTGGGGGGCGGGGGGGGGGGGCGGGAGGAGACAACTACACCAATATCTGACTTTTCTTAGCACTTGAGAATGACCTCTCAAGAATAATATTTCAACCTGGATCTTTCAATTCCCACTCCGACCCTCACAACCAGCACAAACCAATTGCATCGGAGACTCTGGCCCGGGCTTCTGAGAGCTCCTTCTTCAATTCTGCAATGACGACCTCGTCGGACAGGATTCGGTGCTTGGCAACTTCCAATTCTTTCCTGGAGTGAGAACATAAAGACATTTTGGACACCCCAGTTTTCATTTCCGAAAGACCACGAGATGCTCATTCCTGGACGACTGACAAACTATTGGAACTAGGTGGCTACTAGAGGTATGTGAAGTGACTGAAATCCGATTAGTCACTCGTTTTGGAGATTCTGACGGCCCCTGCTTCATTTCGTAAAGATAAGTAACTCCAAATAGGTAGAAAAGATAGATATAAACAAATAATCCAGGAAATTAGTCTGTCAGGGTTGTGTGTGTGTGTTGAAGAAATACCTTATGATGTTAATTATTATGTTTCGAGGCTCATTTCTCCATCATTTCTATGGTTATCAGAATGAAACTTGGCACACTAGTGGGCGGGGCGGCTCGTCCATTATGCAAAGTAAGCGGTCGCAGAACACTTTTTTTTGCCAGGGGTGCAAAGGTGCCTCTGTAAATCTCCCTCGACCGCCAGTTGAGGAGCGCCCCTCCGCTCACAACAGCCCTAGCAATCTGGGGGGAGCCTCGGCTTTCTTGCCTCGCTGCCGGGTGATCCTCTTCCCAAAGGGGCCGGGCCCTTGAGCCTCGCCTAGCCCCTCTCGTTCCTGCTCCACCCGGCCACCGGGTGCGCGAGCAGAGCCGGCGCTCAATCGTTCTCCGCGTTCGATCCCTTCCCCATGACTGGCTCCCTTTCCTGATCCCCCAGCGCTCCACCCGCCTCCTCTCCTCTCCCCAATCCGCAGGTGGGCCAAGGGGCGGAGCCGCCGCGCCTGGCCCGCTTCGGGTCCGGAGGCGTGTCTGAAGACCCCAGCGTGCGCACCAAAAGTCGCCTCTTCTCCTGACTTTCTCTTCAGCCATTGGGACGAAGAGAGGAGAGAGAGCCCCTCCGGCTGGAGGTATCTCCCACCTCCGCTCCCTCCTTTGTTTTTGCGCCTACCTTCAGGAAAGGTGGGCATCTCCACCTCTCTCTCTCTCTCTCTCTCTCTCTCTCTTGGTCCCAATGGCTGAGGAGAAAGTCAGGAGAAGAGGTGACTTTTGGTGCACACGCTGGGGTCTTCAGGCACACCTCCAGACCCAAAGCGGGCCAGGCAAGGGAGCAAGTGCGGCAAGTGTAGTTACTGGGATGTATAGTTCACCTACAATCAAAGAGCATTCTGAACTCCACCAATGATGGAATTGAACCAAATATGGCACACAGAACTCCCACGACAAACAGAAAATATATATCAATGATTGGTTGGGGGAGGGGGGCGCCAAAATACTGTTTGCTTACCGTTGAAAATTACCTAGGGCCACCTCTGCTAGTGGGCAACATTTCTTACTTTAAGTCTGCCATGTTTCAGAACATTTCGGTCACCCGGAGCTTTGCACAACACTAATAGCTACCAATAGAGGCGGCCCTAGGTAATTTTCAACGGTAAGCAAACAGTATTTTGGTGCCCCCCCCCCCCCCCCCCAACCAATCACTGATATATATTTTCTGTTCGTCGTGGGAGTTCTGTGTGCCATATTTGGTTCAATTCCATCATTGGTGGAGTTCAGAATGCTCTTTGATTGTAGGTGAACTATACATCCCAGTAACTACAACTCGCATATGTCAAGGTCTATTTTCCCCCAAGAGAGCCTTAAGAGCGCCCCTGGGCAAAATCAACTCTACCGCAAAGGCTTACTTTGCGTAGTGGTTGAGCCGCCCCTGGCTACCAAAAGAGTCTTATTGTGGTTTTGTTAGAGAATCAACAGGGAAGAATGTGAAGAAATCAGTCACTTACTTCAAGAAGACGTGGAACCTTTCTGGAGACGTGGCCTCAGGCAAATAAGATTTGCAAGGCACCTTCTGCATTTCTAGGGGGAAAACAAAACACAGACACAAAAAGGCAAAGAATAAACAAGGGTACAACCCGGTTCTCGACAATCCTGCGACGACGCCAGCTTCATATCAAGATGTGGGTTTTTGGGAAATGACCCATAAAGAGTGTCAGTTAAGCCATTAATCATTTAGTCTAATTGATTAAGAAGATCTGCTTGCTGCACAACAGTCTTGACTCAATGCCAACATTGCTTTGTCTGGCTACAGATTCTGCACTTGACACTTTTATCCCCTAATCTACTCTATATACCAAATGGCCAGGAATGGATTTCTTCTCAGCCTTGAATCTGCTATCAGGCTCTCCTGCAATCTGGCAGAGCACCGGAAAGCCTGGTTTGTTTTTCTTTGCTGACTGAAAACACTTCTATCTACTGACTCATTAATTTCTGCCCCTGGACCAGGCGCCAAACCTTTCTAAGTTTCCAAGTCTTGGGAATTCTCTGATAGCAATTCAGATCCTGGGAACACGCCACTCACAGATTGCTGTGAGTTTTCCGGGCTGTCTGGTCATGTTCCAGGAAGCATTCTCTCCTAACGTTTCACCCACATCTATGGCAGGCGCCCTCGGAGGTTGTGAGGTTTGTTGGAAACTAGGCAAAAAGGGTTTATATATCTGTGGAATGTCCAGAGTAGGAGAACGTTGATTTAAGGAGTAGACGTGCTGGCTGATATCTGAACAGAGAATGGGCCAGAGATGTCATTGCCTTGGTCCTTTCATTATTGGCTGCTACCTCCCGGAGGATGTCAGCCAGTGGTGTAGAGATCTTGTGATAATGTGGAATGTCTCATTAAGAGACGCATTCACTGTTTTAACGCGGTGATGTGTTCCACCCTGGCCTGCGTACTCAGCAGCAGAGTAGCCAAACGCAAGGGCGGATGTCATCACTGTGTCTGGTTGTGATCCCTAAGTTGTACCAATCAGCTTTCATATGATATTGTTTCTAGCACCCATATTTTGCTTGATAGTCAAGCAGTGCGTCTTGTAAGTCCAAGTTGGACTTAAAAGA